TATTAATTTTTTTTTTTATGTAGAAATATGTTTATACACTTTTGAAAATGTCTTATACATGTAAAACAGGGAACAATGTGAATAATAAATCGTTCCAATGGACTCAAGAATGAAAGGTTAATCGATGAGGTCGTTCCACGAGAAGAACTTGTTAATTTCCAACAATTGCAGTCTGTCACGTTTTCTTCCCACGTTGGATTGCCAATTGACTGTCCATATGCGTGTGGATAGGTGTGCACCTACAGCTATATACACTGTGTCTTTTTGTGAATAATTTAGCGTGAGTAATCCTCAGCTAATAAAAACTATTAACTTTGTAATTATACTTTGTTCTTTTAAGTATCTCATTTTTCCCATGAAAAATTAAAAGTAAAACATTTTTTTCAGTAATTGGGTATCTTTTGTAGTAATTATTTAGATTAAAGTTATTCAATATTTTCTAGTTTTGTATGTGTGTGTGTGTGTGTGTGATTCAAAGAATTTTTAATAAATGTTTTTAATAATGTTTTTTAATATTTCAAAAATTATATTATCCTGTAAAGAAAACGTTTTTATTTTGTTTTTTCTATATCAATACGGTTACGGAAGCACCAACTCGTTAAATGCAATAGAACAGGATAATGTACAACAAGAAATGCTAGAAGAAATATCCAAGAAACTATTTGAAGATGGCAGAAGCAGAATAATAAAGTTTACATATATAGTGAAATATGTAAGGATATTAAACCTGAACTTGAAGTTGAACACTGTCGATTAAACGGATTACTGCACAAGTAAGATTACCTGGGAAACTAGGAAGGAGAGCAACAACAGGATATGGGCTGAGCTATAAAATAGAAGAAAGCCTACCATATCGAATATGATCACATTCTAATCACATTTTAAGCAACACTGACCCGTACATGCAGAAATTAGACTGAATATGCTGAAAAGCAGAGAGTGGACAGAGATATTAGTTGAAAATACAGAAAAAGAAATATGAGAATTGGCAAACTTTATAATAAAGGGAAATATAATGCTGAGAGTGTTCTGCTTGGAGGACCAGAAAGAAAAGCGATAAACCAATGATATACAAAGAAATATAGAAAAATCTATAGAAAAATACACAAGACTGGTACACAAAAATGTAGAACCTAAGATAAAACATGGATAATAATATATTGCACAGGATGGAAAGAACTGTATCAAATTACATTATGTCACAGCACATAATACGTATTAGAGTAGCATACTGTATGGTAATATATAAATAATAAGTTAGTATGTAAACTTAATTAAGTTTCATTATAATAAACAAGTAATAATAATAATAATTTTGTTCCTCCTTTACTTATAAGATTTCATTGAAAATGATTCACAACTCTTTATGTGGTTCTCCAGTAGAGTTTAGGCTTCTCTGGCTTCTTGAATTACTCTATTGTTATGAATTTGACCACCGTGACACGTATCACATGTCTTTTTACTTATACACGGTGGACATACTATAATCCTGCATTACTTTCAGCCAGATATAATTTGTAATTTTCGATTTTTAGTATAAGTAAACCATCCAAAACTATATCGCGATGAAATTGAAATTTTTTAAAAATTCTGAAGTAACAAAAATTAAAAATCGAAGACTGTCAAGGACCTCTATATCTCACGTATCGCTAAAATCTTCGATTTTTATTTCCAAAAAAAAAAACAAATCTCTACTCCTACTGTCACTGATGTCTTCTACAATTATTAATACTTTATAACGAAAAAAATATTATTTTATTTTATTAGTATTAATACTTTAAAATTCCATAGAATTTTTCATTTAGAATTCTTGAATATGTACTCCATTTTTTGAGTCTCTAGATAGGTACAATCTTTCAAGGAATCCCTAGAGAGAAATTGAAGATTTCAATGCAAAAAGCAGCCATTTCAATTTTCTAAATCCCTGCCATTAGTGTAGTTACTTTTATTTTATAACCAAAAAGAAGAAAACATAAAGCGTATATTTGTAACACTTATAAATACCAAAAAAAAAAAAAAGAAATTAAATTTCTGATTTTTGTGGAAGTTTTTTATTATTTCCTGAAAAGTTTTTTCTTTATTATTAAAAATTGCAATGCTCACCGTCGATTCGTCTTCGTGCAGTACTTGATCGTACTCAGACATCGCGACGCAGAATATGATCGCGGTTACGTCCTCGAAGCAGTGGATCCATTTCTTACGTTCGCTTCTTTGGCCGCCCACGTCGAACAATCTGTAAAAAGGTACAAGTATATTTATGTAAACAAAGGCTCAACGATTAATTGGATAATTAATTGGGCAATTGAATCGTTTGGACGTTGACTGAATGAAAATACTCGCGTATTTAAACGTTCTCGATCGAACTGTTATTTGCAGGTTTGTGTATTAAATTCGTAAAAAAAAAAAATGGCGAAACAATTCCTGATCGATTTTATCGGAGTAAAAAGGAAATACAAATTAATTTGTCTCTAAAATAAGCTGAATATTCGTAGTTGAGATTACTTCAATTATTCGTTGTGAATATTTACTCAGCTTTTTGTATTTTTTCGTGTAAATCGAATTGAAAATCAGATTATAAGTTCTTCTTGTTCACAGCGTACTTCGCGGAAAACGTTGAAAATTCGTAGTGGAATTTTAAAAATGTTTTAATTTATTTCAAAGATCGAATATTTGAAAAATATTTCAAATTATCGTAAAATTGAAAATTTGAAAAATATCTCCCCTTTTTTACGAATTTAAATGTTTCATATTGGAAGGAACTCTAGTGTGCACTTGTTAAAGCAGATTTGATTAAAAAATTTATTTTGTATTCGTATCCATTGTACTTTGATATTTCTATTCTATGTTTCAGCTCTGCTTCCTTAACATTCTCGTAAATCTTCTTACTTTAAAACCACCATTCTGTAAGAGAGCATAGTCTGAAAGCAACTCACAGAATTTTAATGTAAAAGAAGAAATATACGTTCTTTCTGGTCTTTACCAGACTTATTTACTTCAAAGATTACGTTTTGCATACTTAAACCTCTCGTACTAGAGTTGCATATGTATTCTGTTTTAATCTTGTAAGTTTTCCCTTTTTTCAATCAAATAAAATAAAATAGAAATTTACCATTTCAAAAGATATGATTTAATTTGATTTCTCATTATCTCAACTTTAATATATATTGTATAAATTAATTGTAGGAGTTGATGCAAGTATTACAAAAATTATTCTAAAATTAGAAAGTAAGATTAATTAGAAAACCGAGTTCTTCTTTGAGATTATTAACATTCTGGAAATGTCTTTCGTGTTCTAAAATTTGAGGCAATGTAAATATTGCAAAATTTTAAAAATTCAACATATTTCAAATATCCCCAAATTTACATAAATATTCCTAATTTTTATCAATTATCCACATTTTATAGAAAAAAATAATAGAATTTTCTTGAATCACGGTGAAAAGTAAATTACTTTCTTAAATGCATTTCGTTTCATATTGCTAAAAAAAAAAAAAAAGAAACGAGCCATTTTCTACACTCGTTGCTTTTTAAATTACAATAAAGAAAAAAAGAATAGCTCTCTACGAATAATACAATAGTATAAGAAAAAATTAATCGTGTTTCACTTTCGTTGAATTTTCAATTGCAAATAATAAATCATTATCTCGAACATCGGTGTAATAAAAAAAAAATAGAAATTATTTTCTACATTCGTTAGATTTTAAATTGTATTAACTTGTATATGATTAAGGTAATTAAATTGTACATGATTTTGTACAGGATTAAATTATGATATGAAGAAAAGAAACTAAAATTAATTACTTTATACTTTCATTGATCTTTAAATTTTGAGCAATGAAAAAATTTCTTTTAAATAAATAGTTCACTATCATTATTGCACTTTCTCTTGGTATAAACAATAATTACAAAAAAGATGTTTCTTGGAACGATAGTAGCTTAAAAGAAGAAACGCTCGTCCTCCACTTCTTAAATTACCAAGCCAATGATTCATGCTCAATCATTCATAAGTCATTGCTCTTTCTCTTTTCTCTCCCCCACGTCCCTCTCTTTACTCAATTTCGTCAAAGGCATTCACCAGCTTAAATTAACAATTACGATCCACGTGATATGTGTATACATATACCTTGTGTATACAAGCTCTAATGTACCAGAAATTGATAAATATAAACACTAACGTCTTTTCGACAGTGTTTTCTCTTTTGTACAAATTAGACAACATTTCCGTAATACTTGGTAAGTTTCGCGTTGCATAAGTATTATGTACAATTTATATTTTTGAATGGTATAAATATTTACAGATTTAAAAAAAAATTTTCAAACTGCTGAAATTTACAGATCTGAAGAAAATTTTAATCGTTGAAATTTAGAAATTCTTAAAAGTCCGAAATTTAAACGAGGCAAATTAAAAAAAAAAATCTTAAATCCTTGAACGTGACAAATTGAAAAAAGAATCTTAAATCGTTGGTGTAGAGATTTAAAAAAATTTTCAATCGTCAAAACATTCAGCAAAAAACTTTTAAAATAAGTAAGAAAATATTCTACAATAAGGGTTATCCAATTTGTTTCGACATTTTGATAAGCTAGGAACATTCACTTCCGAAAAAATTGTCTTTTAATGGCCAATATTTACATACACCTGGTATTACAGGATGTCAACACGAGTAAACTAAACTGTATTATCACGAAAGATAGGAAAAATCGTTCGATTACAGAATGGAAAACAGTTTCCCGTCTGTCAGGGCACCCTAAAAACTCCTCAAAAAGATAAAATTTCTCTCGTATCAGCGTACTTTGATAAAGTTACACCTGTATTCACCCTCGATGTGAATATCTGCTTTTTTTCTTTCTCGTTTCTCTTTCAGCTGTTTTGCTCGAAAATCATGCTGGTCGGATGTTCTTTCAAACGAGGACATTTTCTGTATCATGCAAAACCATACTTTGAAAATACCTTAACGCCAATAATTTAGAAATTGTTTAAATAAGATTCGTAACAATTTTATTACCTCGATGTTTTCCTTTAACTGAAGAAATTTCGAATAAGTGTATATTAATATTAAGAAAATATCAGGCGTAGGAAAGAGATTTTACTGTTTTTCATTTTGCTCGTCTCTAAAATAATTTCAAACCGAGATATCTTCCCGCTCTTTATGACGTTGTCTAAAACGTTGTCTAACAACTTGTCTAAAATTGAAAACACTAAAGTATATTTCAATTTTTTTTTTTTTTAAATGAAGATCGAATTTTGTCGATAAAAGCAGCTTTATTCTTCCAACACCTAATAATTAAAAAAAATAATAGCCTGATAAAAATATTAAGTACTGGTAAAACAGAAATTTTTGAAAAACTTCATTTATCTCGAACATAAAGTTAGAATAATAATACTGGAAATACGTGAAAGAAATTCGCTGTTGAATATGGAAGTTTCAAATATTTGTAAATGAATCAAGTATAAAAATAGATATATATGCAATTCGACTACTTACTTGAAATTAAGATTCTTGAAGGAAAAGTGGACTTCGACTATACCCGTTGTTTTAACACGGGTCCTTAGAATATCTTGTTCCGTAGGCTGATAATCCCTTGCTCCTAATCGGTCTAGATCGTCCAGGAAACTGGAATTTCAAGTAAACAACGGAGAATTCGTTAAATTTCCAATTTTATCGCAGTATATTTTAACGATCGTCCACATTTTATAGAAAAAAATTATATTATTATATTTTTTAATTTTTTTATTATTTTAATGTATGTGTTTGTTTTATCGTAAGAATTGATCGAAAAATTCCGTCACACCCGTTGTGAAAATATTGCCGAAGAGATTCTTTAGTGGGTAAACGACATTCTAAATTCAGGACGTAATCGAGGCCGGGACCGATCGATTTTCCCACTTGTGATTTGCCATTCATTGCCAAAGTTGGTTGCATCTGTAGTTAGCCACTTTCATCTTATCGGAGTGCGTGAATTTTATATTCTTTTTCGTAGAACGCACGTGCAGATATCAAACGAGGCGATTGATATCGGGGTGTCCGGAAAAAAAAAAAATGACGCGCTATTAATACAACATAGGAAAGCTTCGCTGTTACCCGTTCAACGTTTTCGTATCATCGATTTATCGTTTCGATGCAATATATTGTGATTTGAACATTTTATTATTCCGAGGGCAAAAATGGTAAAAAAAAAAAAGAAATATGAAATGTTTTTCAAAAATTTGTGAACACAGTGAAAATTTTAGTATAATATTATTTTCAAGCCAGAAAGTGTTTTGTTAAATATTCCCCAAGAATTTTGGTAATACTTCACTCAGTACTTGGCGTAAATATTAATTAATATTTCTTTAACTGTTCCATCGTGTGAATATTGAATTATCAAAATTTTATCGCAGTATTTTAACAATCTCCAAATTTACTACATAAGAAATTCTCAATTATAAATATCAAACACTATAGTTGCTTATTAGTAATAAACAGACTGTAAAATAGGATCGATAACATGCACTATACGAGCAATTGGGCAAACACATTCAGGACACCCGGTACATAGAAACGAAATTTATTATATATCTAATGTATCGTGTCAGAAAAATGATGCCATTGAAATGTTACACTACTTCTAAAACGTTTCGGCATTTGATTTACGTTCCAATTTTTCTTTCTACCATTGTAAATTTACATTTATATCCCATTTTTCTTTCTACCATTGTAAATTTACATTTACATACCACGAAAGTTACGGAACCGTCACATTGTGTACTACTACTCGAAGATGCTCTTGTTCAAAACGACGATAAAATTCACGTTTCTCGCGAGGGGATGAGTGAAATATTGAAGCAGTGGAAATCGAGCACGCTTAACCACAAGGCTCCGACAGTTTCTTGATAATTATTTAAATTGTCTGATAAGTTAGCGGAACAGGATCGATCGCGTGGCCTGCATTCACCGGATTTAAATTCCTCGACTCTTTACTTATGGACACGGCTCAGAAATCACGTCCGCGGTGTATTTTTTTTTTTTTCACTGAAACTCAAATTTCCACGCAGTGTGCAAAAACGAAAAGGAAAAATTATTGAAAATAATACCAGATTTTGCTGAAATGTAACAATACACAGGGTGTCTAGACAAGTTTTTGTGAGACACTTTCTATAAATACTATTGAATAAAATAATTTTCTTTTCCTTTCTTTTGTAATCGAGGATATTATAAAATGTATACGTTTTATTGTTACATTCTGGACACCCGGTGCGTGAACGAACCGCATCTAAATTGCGCAGAAAGCGGCGCAGATACAACAACACGCTGCTCGAGGTTAGATTTACACGCGCGGATCATCTTTCGTCGTCAATAACGCAGAACGCTGATAACCAATAACTGGGAAAAAGAAATAGCTTATATTTCTAAGAAGTCTCTTATTTACACGGCGAACACACCCTGTATGCACATGAGCCGTAACGCGGCTTTATCACCAGTTGCTCTATGAAAGCATCGTACATCATTCGCTTTTCGGTTACTGGTGTTTACAACTACATATATAATGTGTAGCGAGCAAAATGTACCGGGTAGGCCAGTGTACTCGACGACCGTTTTCGTTATTCCAACATGTAATTAGCTCGAAAAAATCCGATAAAACTGAATGGAAACTTTTGCATTTACGATCTGTGTGTTGGTAATTTTACGCACGTCGCAATTTTTGTATTATCGTCGTTCCAAAGTCAACGCAAAAGAAACGATTAAATAACTACCATTTTTTATTTTTTATTTTCAATATTTGTGAATAACTGGTTTAAGACAGAGGAGAAATCCAACAGAGAAAAAGAAAAAAATTAAAAAGGACTTGTATCGAGATAATTCATTTTTGGAATTTCTAATTCGTATCAAAATTTCGATATTTTATTAGATAATTGTATTCTGCTTGTAAAAATTTCTATGGAAGATTTTACGCATATGTATAGAACAGGCATATGTATACCACACGAAACAAACTTGTCTTACTATTAGGCTTAATTAAATATTCAAATACAATTCAAATAAAGCTGTACTGCGTAGTAGCTTAAAAAATATTCATGGAAAAAGCGTTTTCGTTTAACTTCAACAATGGAAAATCTCGTTCTGGAGAGCTACTCGTAAATTCGGAGGAAAAAAAAATTTTAAAAAAAGAAGGAAAACGCACTGAAAACATTCTCATCAGAAGTAGTACTCCTTGGAGACCCGATGAAATTTCCTGTATCTTTACACCCGGCCAATTTTCTCGCTTCGTCCTGGCCCCATTTTTCCCTGACTTTCTTGCTAATTATTAAGTGTCCAATTATTACACATTTTCCAACAACGAGTGCTGTTTTCTCCGCACTGCTTCCCTCCCCTCCCCGCCCGCCGCTCTACCGTTTCCCTAACCCCTTCATTCCTGCGTATCGTTATATTTTCTTGCTCTTCTCCGCGTATAAAGAAGTGGTAACAGAATGAAAAGAGAAACAATAGGGGGTAGGGGGTGAAAACGAGCGAACACGGGCAGCAGCAAGCACGGGCGGCGTGGCGTGGAGGGGGCAGTGTCGGCGGCCATTTTAGGCCACGTGACACGGGCGTGGCGTGACGTCATCGGCGATCAATACGCCGCTGAACCTAAATAAGAGAGAAGTAAAAAAGGAAAAACGGGAAGGAGAGCGTTGAAATCCTTGGAATTGCACTATTTCTTTTTTTTTTCCTCACTCTGGTTTACACTGGCCACACATGTCCCGACGAAATTAGGTCCGTTTAAACTCTTAATCAAGCCTAGCAACGTTTCACGATCGGTGGACGTCGAATCAGTAATTGTTTTAGGTTAGATTCACGTTTGAGAAACGTCCAGGCTTTTGTACATATGTATAGGCTTTGTGTGGTTCAATTGAAATTAGCTTCGATGGAAATGCAAAATAGTGTTCTTTTTTTCTTTTCTTTTTTTTGTTGAAAGAATTGAATTTGGAGATTTAATTATTTCCATTTGAATTTATATGTAATTGTGGGATACTGAAAAATGACACAAACTGGCTCTGTGTAAAATACTACAGTAATTTATTTGAGTATTTCATTAGAAATAATGGAAAGTAATTTTACAACAAGAACAATGAAATTTTCATTGAACACATTCAGATTTATTCTGACTTCAGCTGTAGTCTAAATCTACTTTGTATCTGGTACAATATGAATTCGATTTTCAGGTTATACTTGGGTCGAAAATTTTCTAGGCCCTTGGTACACCAATATTGTTTATATTTCAACGTACTGTACGTTTAATTAAAATTTTAACTACTAATGTAGAACATTGTTCAAGCTTGAATCGGTAAAATTTAAACGTGAATATAATTTTGAAAATTTCATAATCCCAAATACTTTTGCAATTTTTATCAATGAAATATTTAATAAAAAATAATCTAACTTTCCTTGAAATCGTCTGAATTTGTTGCAAATTCCATTTCTGCCCAAATAACGATTAAACGCATTCCAAATCATTTATTTCAGAAAAATTCCAAAATTCTAAAGCAAAAATTTTCTAACAAGCTTTAAAGGTCGTTAAACTTCGATTATACCACTCATTGTCAATAAATGGATGATTAGCTGATAAATTTTGCCAAGGGAAAAAAAAGGGAAAAGCAACGAATACCAACTTGAAAAAAAAAAGTATTTAAAAACATTTTTTTCCTCCACAGAAGAGTAATACAGTAAATCGTGGCCCCTCTGTTCGATGCTTGTTGCTACGCAGTCTATAATCAGGACACAACAGGTTGCTAACAGAGACTCGTCATTAAACAATTTGCCACATGACATAACAGTGGCTCGTTCGATGGCGAGAAAGTAATTAATGATTTATATTATAACTTGCGTGCCCATTTCATTGATAACTAATACGTGTATGCGGGTGTGTGACTTAATCCGAAACATTTCAATGTTACAAAAAGCACGTTATTTATAATTTTCTATTTTATCCAGAAAAGGGAGAAATTACTTTACTTAGGCACACGTCCGTAAAGTATAACATTACTATCTCCAGGGATGTATCATGCTCTCTAGATGGATTAGGTGTAACTTAATCCCCGTCTATTCTCTTCATCACGGAATCATTGCTATTGTGTACACGTATTCCATGCCCGGTGCATTTGAATACTCAACTTATTCTCGTATTTTTTCATGCAGAATGTTACAATTTTTTATTGTTCCTGTTGTTAACAGGCACGTCAACTACTTTTTGGATTTATTTGTTCGTTCGAAGAGTACTCTTGAAAATCATTTGGTCAACTCTCTCTCTCTCTCTCTCTCCCCCTTGAAATATGAAAACAAAATGGCTTTTAAACAAATGTTTCACACTTCACCGGGAACGAGGGAAATATGCGTGTAGGTAAATAAACGGAGGTAAACTGCAGATCCCTGGCCAAATAGTAATTAATTTCTTGGAAGTTGGCAGACCTTGCCGCTGAATATGAATGGAGCCGCAAAAGGTTGAGTTTCTATTAGGAACTACTATTGGAACTACTCCAAATTAGGTGATAGGGAAGCCAAGGACTATGGTAGGCTGGGTTAACTTTATTTGTAAATATTATCTATAGAGTAATGCCATCGTGTCAATGCACCAGAGACATCTTGCTTTTCAGTTTCAATTTTAGAATTGAAATAAATTCATTTTTCAAGTACAAGAACTGTTTGAAGAGGAAACTTAATTTTCTCATTTTTCGTTTACTCATTTTACTTCAAACAATAAAACTGAATGTGTAATAATGAAATAAAATTTCCTTGTTCTTTGATAATTATGCTTAATTTCACTTTGTTGCTTTTGTGTATAAAAGAAGTGACGATTAATGGAAAAAATATTATTTTATAAATAATATATTGTAAGTATGTATAAAATAACATGATTCAATAGATTTTGATGATACACTTGATTATTGTATACTGTTACTTTTACTTAGTATTAATTTAAACATCAGTAAAATATTTTCATTTGATTTTCAAAATGCTTCGACGTTTTTCCACTTGAATAGTAATTTATTTACAGGCTAAATATTGTTATGTTTCAATCTTGTTTTACTATTTAATAACCTAAAAATATCTATGGAGGTCTGAATGTAAATTACGGATGAAATCATGTAACAAACATTATCTTAAGAAAGCAAGCAAAGAGCGACAGTTTGTTTAATTTTGGCATACAACAACAGAATGAAAATTTCATGTAAGTTTAAATTGAAATAATAAGATAAAGTATTTTAAAAGACATTTTCTTTGATGCTTGTTTAAACTTACCCTAGGGGAACTTTATGTTACTTTTCCTATAATGAAAAATTTCTTCAGTGCTTTAACGGGTAATTTGTTTAATCCTCACAGGCAAAGGAGAGGATAAGTGACAATAAAAGGAGAATATTGTCGACAAATTTACTCACTATTTCGCCGAGTCGTTGAGCTGATACTCGTTGCTCCTGCCAAAGCATTCCTGGACCCCGCTGTCGGCCCAGAGCCTCTTCATCGCGGCCAAAAGCTCCTCGCTGAATGGCTCCGTGTCCTCCATTCTTTGGATCACGTCAAACGCCATTTTCCCGTCCGTCTGCAAAACGATTGTTCATGCTAATTAAGTACTGAGAAAGAAAAGTATCGTTTGGCAATGATTATTTTCCAAGGAGAAGAACCTAACCTTCAATTTTCGTTCAATTAATATTTCGTTCCGTTTTAAAAAATCAAGGTGATCGTCAATATTTTCTCTATAGAAGAAAAAACAATTATTCTAACGTATGCTCACGTTGAAATTATGCAACTTTTGTTTCGTACACTTTTTTACACAACGAACAGTACTTTCTAGATGAATCACCCTATATACTTTTCGAAAAATATTTTGGGCCAAATTTTGAATTTTGCCTTTTCCATTCTACGTGACAAAGATAAACGTTAGAATATTAAGAATATTTGAATTGAATTGTACCGTATAATATTAGACACTCTGTATATGTATGTACATTTTTAAATTATTCCTATGTTAAGAAGCGTGAGGAATATCTCGTTTTAATTTTAGGCATTAAGTGAATTTACTTTCATCGTCAGGCGAAAATGTTATCTGAATTAGGTTAAAAAGCTGAAGTGGAGATCCACTCCACAATCTTTCTGATTGCACCCTTCCCAAATGCTCCGACAAGTGAACACTACTTAAACACTTAAGATACAGCAAGACGAGCAAGTAGAGGTTTTACAAGACGTACACTGCCGTTCATAAGTATTAGGACACCCGTTAAGTTCTTATTGAACGTATCATATGATTTAAAGTACATTTCTTTGGCCATGTTAATATCGTGTATCACTAAAAATATATGCATTCATTATACCACTATATTTCACACTGTGTAAGTTTCTAATGACTGTTTAGGTTTGCTGAACATTCAGTGTAGCGATGTAACATGCATTCTATATATCCTTTGTACAACACTTTTGAAGTTGTATAACTTTTACAATTTTTTTTCTTTTCTGCTACATTGTTTGTCAATTTTTTTGTTCGTTAATTTTAAACTGAAAAAGTTTTGTCCTCCAAACTGTGCAAAAAGTTCTAAAAAAAAAAAGAGAAACAAATTTTTACAAAATATAAGAAGAAAGTTATAAATGTAATTTAAAAATGAAATTTCTAACAAAAAGAGAATGTAAAATTACCTGTGAATTTGAGTGAAAGAAAAGTGAAAATTTTCAGCAAAGAAAAGAAGCAGAAGAGGGAAAAAAAATTAATGAAAATTCTCAAAATTGAAAATTAAAATTCTTATCTTTTAACTAATCAAGCTCTAATTCATCTCGCTTGAATACTATTAAGTCTAACAATCAAATTTCAACATGAAATGCATTGATCGTGAATTAATGATTGCAACAATACTCTGGCTGTCCCATAAATTATGAATGAAACTTTTCGTTGTTCGAACTACATGTTGCTAAAAGCAGTATTTCTCTGTTTTCATTGTAAATCAATCTCGCCGTAACTATGTAGTTTTAGTTTGTTGAATACTTCCACGAGTAGTTCGTGCAACAACGTTTATTATAACGAATAATCGCCAGTTCGAACATTTATTCTCGCCGAAAGAAATATAGTACGGTCATAAAATCAGACTGAGAATTGAAGCACACGTGCCTCGAGTGAAAATTTTTGGAAATTGAGAGCCAAAAATTTTTGTCAAAACTTCGTCGAGTATTTGTACAATTTAATATTATTTCGTATGATACATTATTATTCAAAGCCCACGATGCGATAATGGAAATTGTAGCAAATCCACATTATTACAACTTCCATGTGTTCCACACTCAAAGAAATATATGTCTACAAAATTTCATTTCAACATCTTTGAAACTGAAGAAAATACAGCATTTCAAAATGTAGCTTCGTATTTTAAGGTTATATTTATATACACGTGTTTTTTAATTTTTTTCGAATTTGATTATTAATTCTAAAAATGAGTAACGTAGAAAGTGATTTGAATAATATAGAGAGTGAAATATGTGTGAAACAAGGCGCACGCAAAAGAAATATGAATTGCAGTTTAAACAGAAACAAAAATCACCCATTATAATTCCCACAGAGAAATTCTAAACATTAAAAAAAAAAAACAGAGTGATCCCTTATACAAAAATAAGTCGAAAGTATAGAATAAAATTTTTTGATATAACTTTTCGTTTCTAAGCAAATCGATTTTGAAATTTCAGGGGAGCGCCCCCTACAAATCGCCCGCGTATAACTATCGTAATGGAGAAAGAGAAAAAAATTGTAGAAAGTATCTGTAACGATTTCTGAGGAAAAGTTACATAAAGTTGGCAAATTTAACATTCATAAGATGGACCTTCCCTACCCCCCTTAAAGCTACTCGAAATAATAAAAACAATATATACATGGCGTGTGTGTGTGAGAGAGAGAGAGACAGAGACCAGATTGAGAGGCACTGGTTCGAGGAGCCGGATCAATCGGCACTCGTGGCAGCCCCTCGTGCTCGTTGTTTTCGAGGCAGGGGCTCGTTATTGGCTCTAAGGTAAACGACGCAGCCGCGATGCTGCACGATCGGTAAATATGCCGAAGAGGATGCTTCAGGGGTCGCCTCGAGATGCGCATCGATCGTTCAAGTGGCCGGCCTATCGATAATTTTTGACTCGCCTGTAGACTTTAATTTATATCGTATATACTCGACGCTGTCGCCATCCTTCGTCAAAGCTCTCATATCGAAACTCCACTTGTTTGTGGATTCTTTGAAAGCTTCCGTTCAATTATGCATTCAATTTCTTCTTTTTTATTTTCTGGTTAATTTCTTGGTAAATTTTAGGTTAGGTTAGATCAGTGTAACACCTTAAAAATATAGTAGCTAAAAGTCTGAATACTAGTCAATTGAAAGTCTGTATATTAGTCAGTTGAAAGTTTAAATATTAATTAATCGGAAATATGAATATATATGGTATATTCTACATTTGACTGTTCACTTCGATCTTCGATACTTTTAAACATCTTCTATTCGTTTCCATTTGGTAAATTAGCCAATAAATGATTTCATTGAGTAGATATTGGAGATTTGTTACAATATGACAATTATAGATTGAAAGTACCACTGCGCACGTTTTTGCGCAGGTTGCAACTGCGCGAACCAATCAACGGCTACGTGTGCCTTATTCCTTCTGCTTTCGAACGGTCTATCGTTTGTTGCTATTGCGTTTTCCAATCTTGCATAGAGATTATGCAAATGGACTGCTGTTAATAGTCCCGGTCATTTGAATATTTTCCAGCGAGAAAAATGCCTCTTGGCGAAATCCGCATAGAATCGACAACTGTATATGGAAATTTCTAGCGAACAAGTTTTTGTATGGCGTGAAGATTTCAATAGTGTCGATTTGTTCAACAAAGAAAAATCAAGGAGACAGTGCACGGTAATAACCGAAGAAAGTGTGAATACAGATCGCAAAATGACACGTAGAGAAATGGAAAAACTGTTGGCTATCTCAAAATCGATTGCTCGTGACATTTTAATTGAACAATTTTGAAAGTACATAACGAGAAACTTGTTAAATGCACGAAGCAATAGATCCACTTACAGAACGTGTCGTTTATTAGAAAAATGGCTTAAGATTGTTGTTAAATATTTTTCTGGTATATTTTTCAGTTTTTGAAATAAACTCTATCTCTTACAGTACTTGGTACCTTATTTTCCGGACGATTCTTGTATTATCATTTTAAATGATATTTGTTGTTTAATTATTAATATCAATTTTCGATTCTCCACTCAACACAAAATCTTTGATTTTTTTCTTTTATGAACTTATAAAATGCAAAAAATATAATACTTTATACAGTTTGACAACTCGTGCTCGGTAGATAATTAATTCACTACCGTAAGGAGGATTTTTTTTAATATCCTAAATTCTGAAAGAGTTCGTAGTAGCTGACGGAGATTAATACTTTGACTTTTCATTGTTCACCCTGTTCTTGAAAGATTTCAATAGAGAATATAGCTGATAGAATAGCCTGGTACAGTGCTTAACTTCTTTCTTCCTAATATCATAAAATTTCTTTGACGGAATAAGAATGTGGAATCGTATAAGATACCTAAAATATAATCCTTCTACACGAACTGAAATTCATTTACGAAAACCCCTTCAAATTTGTGAATAACATAGACCTTTATATTTTTGAATCTTCCAAAAATTTGTGAACTCATTTTAAAAAACTATAAATATCCACAGTATTTGAAATTATACTCTTCTGAAAATTTTTACCAATGCAACTAATTTATCACTGCAATACATTGCAAAAAATGAAATCAACAATCGATCCAAATTTTATTTCCTTACAGTTGCAGTGTATTCTAATTAGAGTATACAGGGTGTTCAAAGAAATTAAAAAAAGAATGAAAAAGTAATTGCAAGGTATGAACTTTTCGAAGTATAATAAAAACCACAATTTTAAAAAGTATCAAATTTTTACATACTCGTTGAAACTTTTCATTTTTTTCTACCAAGTGTAAGAAAGCAAATTCAATTTGCTTAAATAATTGAAGCGAATCCTTAAGCAGACTGTTACCCTTAAGTAGACAGATAAATCAGCCTCTTTTTCATCCTTCTTCTTCAAAGAGCATTTATTTAAAAGCAACCACAAATGGCCCCACTTGTTTATAGCATGTGTTACTTAAAGAGAAGCTTCTCGCCGGAAGTGTCATTTCTACTTACCTCCCGTTCATTGGTCGAAAAGCTGATGTCCAAATTCGGCATCGCTTTGAGAATAGTGACTAGAGATTGTATCGTGTTGCTGTACACTACGGGCTTGTACTGCTTGAAGTCTTCAGGTGTAAATCCGCTTTCATGGATAATTCTGCAAGAACAAGCGTAACGCGTATTTGCCAGCTCGTTTCATCAAATTAGTCATCAATGACACTTTTTTTTTTTTTTTTTTTTTTTTGACATAAAAGATAGAGAATCCAGTGTCTTTTTCATATTAAAATTATAATACATCAGAATTGTATACTTAACGAGAGTTATGTATGAGAATAAGTTTTTGTTATTAGTATTAAAATTTTAATTTGTGTATTTTATGGTCTTTAGGATGTTAGCAATTTTGATTACGGAAAAATGTGAGAAATGAGTATGTCTATAAATTTCTTTCTGTTTAAGAATTCGAAAAATGTATAATTTTGTTCTTTTTCAAATATATTCATAGTTTATTTCTAATTTTTGCTAATTACCAATAAGTTAATGTTAAGATATGCATTTCGATGTTTGAACAATTTGTTATTTAATTGATATTTATTTTGTGCACGCTTCAAGCTTTGATTTGTTACCATTTCCTGTTGGATATCATAATTCATTCCACCGGCAGGAATTATAAATTGAATGAATAATTGAGGAAACTGGCAATTCCATATTGTTTAAATGCAAAATTTCTCTTGCAATTGCGTTTGTCCTTATTAATTGAATAATAAATTAAAATGGTAATTTACAAGCGCATCACGTCTTTGTTCAATCAACTGTTAATTGAATTTCCATTTTTAATCACATTTCGTCCAAAGGCTACTATAAACGATCAAAAACATTTGCACGTTGTTTGTGCATAAAACACGTTAAAAGAATTTACCAAATGTCCTTTGGACAAATTTTAAATCTGTAATACCATAAAAAAAAAAAAAAAATTGGGAGAAAAAGAAAATTGGTTTTATTTAAAATTTGCAAATTGTTTTTAACGCTGAATTTGCGTTCGAAAAATGTTTTTCGTAAGTGAACACGCGTGCCCTTTGTTCATAGGACATCATGAATGGGCCCCATTGACGAGAAAAGAATATTTCAAACACGTTTTACCAGTTAACTGGTCTTTCAACGGAGAAACTATCGATGTTTTGAGGTGAACAACCGATTTTCTATATACTTAACGAAGTTCACAGACAACATTGTATCTTTTCATCCTTCACAGGAATTACGTGAAATAATTTGCACAACTATGTATCATTTGCATTTTTGTATTCGTAGATTTTAAATACGAAACATTTTCCTCTTCGATATTTCGAGAATTTTATATTTAAAAAGTGTCGAATGACGTGAGAAATTTGCTAACAAATGATGTACTAATTTGAATATCCAGAGTTTTACTTACTTCATTTGTTTAACGATGGTACTTTTTCCAGACTCACCGGCACCTGAAGCAAAAATGCATTCGTTTAATGAAACAATTTTAATGATAAATGTAATGTACAATTTTTAAAAAATATTCACTATACTTTATTCGTGTTCTTTGTCAAAATTTGTCATTTCAAATATTTTATTCCTCCTAGCCATATTTCAGTTTCCAACTGTGAGTGTTCTTACATTCTTTGTTTTTTAACACTGTTTATCGTATATTTCACTAATTTCTGTATATTCGAGAAAACTACGATATATTAATACAGTGATAATCATAGCAAGTAATAATATTGTTAAAATTGATAAAATTGAAAATTAATACTACATTAAAACGAATAAAATTGAAAATTGGTACAACATTCAAAATTAACAAAATGAAAAATTCCTGTAATATTAAAATTAACGAAATTCACAAATATCAAAGTTAATCCAATATTCGTCCCTTTTCGCGATAATTAAAGGCAACAAACAATCTCCCGCAACGATTCCGGCCAACCCGAAATGAATATTTATGGTAATTTTTGCACGAAATCAGCATGGTCCATGCGGGACCAGGAACAAAACGAAGGAAAAAGCGGCGCTAGGGACGGAAGCAGGGGACCGGAAATGACGTGGCCCAGTGTGCCAGCGGAACTTGTTTTCCTGCTTATGGGTGGCGGGTCTCCCCCTCTTTTAAAAAGCTCTTTCATCCCGAACCCGGTACGCCAGCTACGTGCTACTTCTATCGATCGGCTGGAAACGACTACGATTCCATCAGGTCATTCCATAAGTAACATACTTCTCACATATGTATGTAACCTCAAAACGCTAAAAAGCGGGACCTATTGCGTCCGATAATCGATAATACAGAAGTAATTTGTTCAGGGAAAGAAAATTGACGACACAATATATCATATTAATAAATGTATTTTGTCCTTAATGATTCTACTTGTTTTATCGTCATTGTCAACACATTCTTGGAATCTTCTTTTCTTTTGCAAAAAAGAAAAGGAAATGTATATACGTACAAATTTTCCATACAAGTGTTAACATTCTTTGTAGACACCCTATATATCGCCTGTTATTTTGTACGATTGTGTTCGAGCTAAAGTAATTTGTAATTCTTCTTTTTTTCAATTTTAATTTTTCATTTTTAAAACATTGTGACGATTTTTTTGTAAAGTATTAAAAAATGGAGCTTATTACGCGTACTACTGTGTACAGTAAATTCTCTACAAGTGTCAGTCAGTTTGGATTCTACAAGTGTCAGTATAGATGGTCGTACGCCTAGGTCTGCGTCATTAGGCGTGACAGCGAACGTGTTAATAAGTAAATGTTGTTCAAATTATGTCGTGTTTGAAGAAAAATTTCGGGATAAAAAGACGTAAAATTAAAAAAGTTGGTATTTAAATCGCTTGGTTGCCTCGACTCACGTTTCATCCTTATCTTTTATTCGCTGTCCTTGTCTACGTTCGGCAAACTACAAAGGCGGGCGCGAGGCTCGAAAACGTAGTCCCTGACTCTACAAGTGTCAGGTTTAGGTTTCTTGCGGACTGACACTTGCGGAGAATTTACTGTATTTGTAGAAATATGTGGTTACGTTAAAGTTTCGAAATTCGTGTATTTATTATAAAATAAAAAATAGTAATTAAGGTCGTTTAGCATTGTCTGCGACCATTTTCCACCTTCCTTGGAATTTTTCGATTCTTCTTTCAAAACTTTTGTTTTTTTTTTTTAAACTGAGATGTTGCTTTTTCATTGGGATAAAAAAATTAATTCTGTCGAACACCGTCGAGGCATAATTATCTCAAAAATTAAATAGATCTGAATTACAGAGGTGAATCATGATTTGTAGTGTACTTTAAAGTTGTTAGGACATTAAACCTTATGTGTTAATAAAACCGTTTAAGTAAACGATCCTGTAATTACTTTGAGTAGTAAGTGTACATTATGACAAGTGTTGCTACGATAGTATAGAGTATAACAGAGTTTAAATGCTGAATCAACCTGATGAATTTGTGTCGTCAATCATGCGACGCCATAACCTCCGCTACGGCAAGTGCAATTTTTGGAAATATAAAGAGTGGGAAAAAAGTAATCGGTCGACTTTTTTTCGTAATTTCGAAATATTACGTTTGTTATTCGATAGTTATTCAATGGTTAAAGTAATGTTTACCAAAGTTGCAAATTTTCTATGTAAACTTACTATTAATTACAGAAATATTTCTTTCCTGTAAGTTTGTACGGAAAAATTTGGTGAAAATATAATATGTAATTCTTCTTAGTAACTTCGAAGTATAATTTTATTATTTTAAGAGAATGTCTCAGAAAATTGGAAATTTTGTTTTCACAATTCCCATTAATTGCACAAATATTTTCTTCTCTAATTTTACACCGAGGAGTTTACATTCAAACGACCATAATTTTAACAGAAGATCAGTAATTACGATAAATATCGATAACACTTCGATGCAAACGTCAAATAATTCCACTACAAGTGCTGAAGAAACTTTTTCAAATTCAAATAAAAGTTGAACAAGTTACTTATTAACATTCTTGCAATATAAAATTTACCAAAACGATATTTTTCTACGAATCGTTCCATATTACTGTTACATAAAAATCTACCTAATTCTTTATCATGAAACAATTCCTCCAGGAAGGAAGCTGATCGATTTCACGAGTCGAATTGAAGTGAAAACCACGAAAAAATTGAAGACTGGGACGTAAAAAAAGGCTATAAATTCTGAATGCCACTGGACTTTCATCCTAATGTGAAACTTTTTTTTCTTAATTAATAAAACTTTAAAGTATTCAAATAAAAATATTGCAAGATTATACAAATCAAATAAAAATATTGCAAATAAATCAAATGAGAATATTGTAAGATTATATAATTGAAATAAAAATATTGCGAGATTAGATAAAGTTAGCGTAGTGCATAGAAGAAATAAATTTTGATATATTTTGGTAATTAAAAAATTCTTTTCTTGAAATTTCCCTTTTACACGTCCAGTCTTCAATTATTCGATGATTTGTCGATAACTCTGTTGAGAACTACGCTTAATAAATTCAGAAACCGTTACTGTCACGATCGTTGCCATTGTTTACTCGATATCGGTTTTATTGCTATTCCGGTTAACATTATGGACATTCTCGTTACTGCTTTCACCATTATCGTTCTATTTGTTGTTACCTATTTGTGTTATCGCGGTTGATAGGAGTTTTACGATTTGAGGCAACGGCATGATTGACACGCGGTGTAATCCGAACGTCAATAAATTACAATCATCAGAAACAATGATTGCACTGTCGTTTCAGACACTTGAGAACAATGTAGGCAAGCGTGGAAAAAATTGGAAAATTATTTTCGCATTTCTCTGAAATTTTATCGGTACTTTTATTACATCAAATTGGAATGAAAATTTGAAAAGGGGAAATGGAAAATTGTTTCGACAATTTTTCGAATCTTGATATTTTTGTAATATCCATTTGGAATACAAATAAGGAAATTTTCTTTTTTCTAATATTTCAATTTCTATTAATATTTGAAATGAAAATAAGGGTATTTCAATTTTTCTAATATTCGGAATAAAAATAAGGAAATTTTCATTTTTCTAATATTTCCATTTCTATTAATATTTGAAATGAAAATAAGGGTATTTCAATTTTTCTAATATTCGGAATAAAAATAAGGAAATTTTCATTTTTCTAATATTTCCATTTCTATTAATATTTGAAATGAAAATAAGGGTATTTCAATTTTTCTAATATTCGGAATAAAAATAAGGAAATTTTCATTTTTCTAATATTTCCATTTCTATTAATATTTGAAATGAAAATAAGGGTATTTCAATTTTTCTAATATTCGGAATAAAAATAAGGAAATTTTTACTATGTATATATTTTTTAAATTTGAAAAATTACACTGTAATGTTTCTGATTGAAAAATTGTATTATTTGTACACAAAAATTAGAAGAAAATCAAAGGACTTATATCAATATAATTATAATAAAATCAACAAGTGTTACATTTTCAGCAGAATAAACTATAGCTGCAGTATGAACAGTAATAAATAAATAAAACATACAAGTAAAATATTTAAACAAGTAGTTAAAGCAGAGATCATTAACATGTACCAACAAATCTGTGTTAAAAACTTTCCTGCTTCGTTTCCTGCTCATAATTGAACTTATATAATTTTATATAGAAACAGGATAATGAACCTAAGCTTCCCAGAGATTATCTAACAGCGAGAATGAAGAGTACGACAGAATATTGTCTGAGTTTTTACCACAATCACTCGACTTTGTAACGAGATGCTCTAGCACAGAATAAATCAGACAAAGATTATTTATTACGAGAAATACTTCTGAAGTACAGAAAAATACAAAAGATTTAAATTATTAAAATTATTAGAA